TATATTTAATTAAATGGTGAAAGGAAAAGGCATCGAAAAAGTAAGATTTTAGGGAGAGTTTTAGCCGACAAGGCCTATGCCGTATCATAAATATTCACCACATATACAACCCATCCAATTATGTCGAAGCCAACAGATTAAAGTTTCTTTGCATCAACCAAACTATCTAAGCTGCTGCCACTCGAGCCATGCCTGCCTAAGCCTGCTCCCTCAGCCACTCAGAACTTGCATATTCAGGGACTCCATTTCCGTTTTCTGTTAGAAATAGGAGGAAAATTTGATTTTGTGCCGCACTGATTGGGTTCAGCACACAACCTTCGATTCTATCTGTAGCTCCAGCTCAATCTCCATCTGTATGGGCATATCCTCCATCAGTTTTGCTGTCTGCCTGCGCGCGTAACAGGTGCAGCTGAAAGCCAATAATGGGATGGGGAATTGGGAGGTGCTGCTGCTGGCTGGGGTGTGGGGTAGCAGGTGCCAATGTGTGTATTTTGCCAGATTGTTGAGATTAACATTGCGGGTAGTCCAAGGTATATGCCACAGAGGGTAAGGCAGTGCTCTAATTGCCACAGAAAGTGGCCACAACTTTCTCTGGAATATACCTTGTTGGTAGTCCGACTTACTCCAGGCTGAATCTCTGCCTGATTGCCTTCTAATTAGTTGCAAGCTGATTATGCAAATGGCACCATAAAAACAACAACAAACAGTGCTTGAGAATGTGTTGCATGGGAATCGATTTGGTGGTTTAGCTGTGCGGCTCACACACATGGCACAGTGGAAGCGGCTAGCAAAGACTGCCATGCAATTTTAATGCTGTTAGTTACGGTATCTCTTTTTCTCTTGATTTATGTGTATTTAATAATTCAGGATTTATCGCACCAAACTGAGGGAATTTCTTGCTGCTCACACGCACAGTCTGAGGACCACAGTCCCACATGCCATACCAAAAATATTCACTTACTCATGTGACTGAGCATAAAAATTCCGTATTCCACTTGGCTGACTGCTGTGGCTTTTGGCCATGCAAAATACATGTAGATGTGCGGACAGATAGAGCAAAAAAGTAGAGAGAAAAAGTGCAAAGAAATATCACTTACAGACATAAAAATGCAAATTAGAGCACAGATATGCAGCAGTCCAGCTGAAGGCTGACAGCTGTGGACCACCGCAAGAAGAAAAATATATAAAATATCGAGCGAAAAATTACTCCAAGCTAAAATCAAGAACGAATTATTGGCCCCGGCCAGGATAAGGCCTACTGCAGGGCATTTACAGCCTGAGCAGATTATTAGCCAGAGTTTTGGGCAGTGGCAGCGTAAAACTTTCCTCAATTGTTTGGGCCAACTTTCTTGGCCTTCGATGCTGCGAGTTTTTTGGGGGTAAGTACCAAGGCTGGACTGCCTTTTGCATTTTTTGGGCTTCTTTTTGTTGGCGCACATAATCGACACGTGCGTGCTTTGATTTATGCAGCGAAAGTGTCGACAACATTTTAATAATTACGTAATTGCATGAATCGATGGGAAAAGTGAGATCAAACTTAGAGTTTGGACTGAGAGTTTGTTGGGAGAGATTCAAAGCGTTTAACCGAGAGTTTTCTTATTGGAAGAGTGGCTCCAGAGCTGTGGCCTTGAGCTGATTAAAATGAAGTGCAAATTATTACCTGACCCTTTGTTAAAAGCTGTCTCTAAAGTAGCTGTCAGTTTTTTGTCAAAAGTCTCAAAATTCGCTGTTAAAAAAGGTATCCTTAGAATTCTCTCTAAGCGCCATAATTTGTCAAAATATTCCTTTTACTCTTCCATGAATAAAAAACCTTTTCTTTTCATTTCACAAAAGATTTACGCATAACAAGGTTGACCCACAAAAAGCAAAAAAAATCTGTACATTAATGAATGTGGCAAAAACATTTCCAACCCGTCGCTTGGCAAGCAGCAAAAGCAGGACACTGCAAAGGACATTGCCTCACCCTACACCTTACCTTGACTTCTTTTAGCTTTAAAACTGACAAACTTTTGAGCAAAGATAAAAGTAGAAACCAAAGAATATGTATCTATGTAGGTGCATTCGTTTTTATTTTGGTTGGCCGTCAATCAAAAAGTGTCGAAAACATTTCAATAAGCAAAATGCCAGCTCACCGTTCTCCGTGCTCCGTTCACCTGTTGCCTGCGGGGAGGCTGGGGCGTTCAGTAGATTGAGTGGCCATGTCAGCTGTTTAACAGTTCACCGAGCACACACACGCACACACACACACAACAGAGGATAGGTGGAGCAAAAGAGAGGCGGAAAACCAGACCAGGAGCATCTCAAGTGTCAAATGTGCTGAACTAGAAACGGAAAAAGGGAAGGCGAAAGCGATTCAAATTGAATTTGCCCGAGGACTCCTTTTCCATGACATTCATTTACATATATGTGGGGTTACTTACACACACACACATACCAAATACTTATAAGCATGTGTGGTGTGTGTGTGTGTATTAGGAGCTCTTAAATTTTAGGGTTTTGCGTGCAAGCAATTTGCATGCCAGTGCTTCAAGGAGTTTATCATTATAATCAACACTCAGGCAGCAGAATTCATAAAAGAATAAGGGCACTCGAGTAGCTAACTGGGATACCCATTATTAGAAAATATTTTGGAAACCTTTTTGAAATGCAACCCAAAATAAAGCTTTGACTGAGTGGGAAACTAGAAAAAGCTTCAGGTATCCTCTCTTTAAGGCCTTTGAAAGTTTGTTTTTCAAGAATTTTCCAAGCAAAAACTCCACGTCTAATGAGTCCACCAAAAACATTTTTATTTATGCAAAATATCGCCATATAATAAATGTATATTTCCAAAACATTTTATTAAGCTTTAAACCAGACAAAAAGTTGTCCCTAAGGGTAAACCGAAGCATTACAAATTGGCATACCCTTAACAGAAGCACAAAGCTGATTAAAATTGACATTGTCCGCTCACGTGTCCTGGTTTTGGGCAAATTTCATTATTACGATTATTCCTGCTGGGGGGACAAGCTCATTTTCCGTTTATTAACTTGATAACCAAATGAGTGTGAGGAAAAATGGGGGAACTTCGGCCCAAAAATAGATAGAGAGAGAGAAATACACAGCTTTTTTTGTGGCTATATTTAGTTTATTTTCAGACCCCAACTGATAGCAAACAGAAAACTCTATACCATAACCGTTCCACTCTCACAGTTTACTCAGAATCTAGTTCTAATGAGGGTGCATTAATTAATACTTGCCACCCTTGTGGTTTTATCTCCTGTATTTTACCTGTATTTGCCAGACACTTGTCGGTTTTGTTTGTCTATGCACATCCTGACACGCGCATCCATTGATTGAACCTTATCATTCTTTGGTTGTCGCTGATAAGAGCCATCCAACTATGATACAATTTTAGCAGACTACTCGAGCACTGTGATACGACAGAAAGAGTCACCAAGCTGATATATTTTCAATTTAAATCTTATTTATTTACAATTTATTTGGCATAGAAACTCAGCAGCTAAAAGAAAAAGCTGAAGAGAAAATAATTAAAAGCCACCTTCAGCCACTACAAAAAATGCTCAGCTTAACTATAATTGCAGTTTTCTAAGCTAACAAAAAATGACAAAATCTCGGTGGCGAATTTCTCCCATGAACTTTACCCCTCCGCAGAAACAACAGCATTAATGGTAATGTATATGAACCCACATGTGGCAGCACCCCTTCCCTTTATGTGTGGCATTCACATTCATCAGGAGATTCCGACAGGAGTCTGCCAAGACAAACCCTTTGGTCCTTTGTCACGCCTCCCTGGACCGACGTCGGCGGCAGACAAAATCGCATAAAACTTTCAAGGCATTTTCTATTTATTTTCATTTGCCCCTTTTCTCTGGTTTGTTTGGCTGCGGCTTTTGGTAAATTCCAATGCTTCAACGCGCTGGACAAAAAAAAAACCCCAGAAAAAAAACTGCGACTGAGAGCCTGTGAACGGAAAACAATAAAAAATTGGAAGACTCATTTGCATAAAGTTTTGCTGGGCTAAACCAAAATACAATGCAAAATACACTTCCATCTCCAACACAGGAAAAATCTTTGAGTGATTTTCCTTTTAAAGACAATTTTGGGTTTTCCTTTGCTTATTTTATGAGACTTTTATACATTTCTAAGGGCTGCTGCCTGCCACATAAAACTATTTAAGAAACGCCAAAAGAGCAACTTTTTTTATGTCTCATATGTGCGAATGTTTTTTTTTTTTTTGGTTGCACTTTGGATTCGGCCATGCCCTTACTTTTATGGCCAGGACTTTGTTTTTATGGGACTTTCCTTCCATCCAAATGCACGACTTGTAAATGTTCTCCTTCAAGGAGGTGGCAAAGGAGGTGTTTGCAGGGGGGGAAGTGGCTTCAAATAAATCAATAGAGCCGCCTGATAAATCAGAGTTCCGGTCATTGATTAGCTAACGATGCGCCTATAATTTTTGTTCTTTCTTTCCTTGTTCTTTGAGCCAAAACTGTGGCGGGTCTACGGTAAATTGAATCAACCGATGCAACACCCAAAGGAATCTAAAGGAAACGATCTAAAAACAAGCAAAAAGTTTTCCGTAATTAGGTTCAAATTACTTTGTGAATTTTTGTCGGGTTTTGTGTGGGTTTTTTGCTAAGACATTTTGTAAGAATTTTAGTTTGTTTTCAACTTTTGCCAAGCCTGAACCGTTACACAACATTATTAAATTACACAATAGAAAAACAAGTCGAGTATTTGTAAGAATATTTTTTCACTTTTTCCGTCAAGTGCTTCGCAAAAACTATTAAAAACTTTCTTTAAAAAAATCCTTAATTCAGTAAGCAAAATCTCAGCGATAAAGTAATGTTTAATCTTTGATTGAAACAACTTTTCAATCACTTGCTTTACGTTTTTGGTCTTTTAGCCATCTGTTGATGGGATTCTCATTCTCATTCTATCCCAGATCCCTAATTGATTTTATATTCAAAAATATAACAAATCAAAATTTCGCAACTTACCAACAGCTGGAGCTCGTTCTCTCCTTTTCTCAGCTCTGCTGAAAAGTGTCTTCTGCCGCTTCTTAAATATTTAATGTGGAGCACGTTGCTTAAATTTTGTTGCGTTTCGTTCGTTGTCTCGCGGGTATCGTCGTCGCAAACACTCTCACATATACATTTGTTTTATATACCTATTGTAACGTTATTATTTTCTCTTTATTTACGACATTTAACTTTATATTTATGTACTTTGATTTTCATTATGCGATGTGCTGCGGATTTGTGGCACGCTTAACCTGCCCCACAAAAGGGAACACGGATAAAGGGAAAAAGGGAATTCAGGCATAAGGCAGCAGTAGGAATATATTTCGGCCCGCGATGCTCATATAATTTGATTTTATTTGATTTGATTTCATTTTTTGTTGCGTGTTTTTATTTGCTTTCCGTTTTAGCGGGATTTGCACGTCTGAGGGGAAGTTGGATAAGAGGCGGAGGTGGTTATGTATGGGGCGTGACGGCTAAATTGGCGGCGCGATAAATGAATCTCGGCTCTCGTTTAAAGGTACTCCATTCTGGCTCCAGAAATTCCAGCATTTCTTAAATTAAATTGTGAAGTGACTCCATAGCTCTCTCACTCGCTCAACTCACTTTGCCAACCACTTTCTCTCTCTTGCAAAAAATACACAGCATAGGCATGTAATTTTTCGAGGTTTCAGCAACCTTAAACGAATTTAAAATGTGAAGGGAGTACAAAAACCAATGGCTGGAAGCTGGAAATACCCTGGGGCAGCAAAAAGAGCAACTGAATATAAAATTCCACAGAAATAAAGCTAAAAAAATTAAGATTTATGTGCGATCACAGAAGAGTAAGGGATTCGGATTCATTAGCGACTCGATTGCCTTCCCAGCTTCTCCAACTTTTGGTAATACCCTGCCCTAAGAGAGAGAGAGCACAATAGGCCGTGCTGGCATGTGGCTGTTAAGATATTTTCGTAATATTTTCTGCTGTTTTTCATAGGAGTAGCAGCTGAAGCTGCTCCTGTCTCTGCTGCTCGCTTGAATTAATTACGCAACTTAACTGGTTTTTCTGCCAAATCGCATTATAAAGTGGTTTTTGATGTTGCCCCTTGGGTGGCTCTGCCAGCTAGGATGCCTCCCATGAGAGCAAAGATCTGAGGGCATTTAAATTGGCCTACTAGGCGTATGCTTAATGGCACAAGCTAACTTCGTGTGGCATTCAAATGAATTATAATTTAATTGCTTTGGTAAATTATTAACGCAATTTAATGCTTTTATTGTGATTGGGAATACTTATAAATAATTTAAAATGAGTCGCGTTTGAATTTATTTATTAAATTTATTATATTTTACTTGAATTAGTTTTACTTTTTCAATTGTATGGATTTCTTTTTGGATAAGCGAATGTTTTAGAATAATAAATAGAATATAATAAATAAACTTAATAGTAGGAGGTGCCATGCAAAAGGGTTTCAACTTAAGTATTCTGGTAATATATGTTTCTCCATTCGTATTTTTGGTTTGGAAATTTGTTTTAGTGTCAGTTTCACTTAAAATAATAATATTTGGCAATGGAATAGATTACATGGCTTTGTTTTTATATTAAACATAGACTCTTTGAGTCCAACATTTATTTTAGTTTTAATATTTCGGTATCGATTTCTTTTATAGTGATTGAATGATTTATTTACGTTAAAGCTGTTAATATTTTTTTATTTATTTATACACGATTAGGACACGTATTTTTGTATTATTTAACAAGCAAACAGTTTTATTGTTATCTATTTATATTTCTCTCAAATATATGCACCGTTTCCAAGAGCTCTCCCAATGAATGATCACTGGCCAGTAGATCCGAATCCGCAGATAAGCGCGAGGACAACCGACTGCCACGAACTGCGAATGGTAAATGGCAGGTCTGCAACTTGTCTCGAGGATTGTCAGGACATAGTTGCCACTACATTCGCCACTTGTTTAAAAACGAACACCCAACGACAACACCAGCACTAACAGCAACAGCAACAGCAACAACAATAACTGAACGCACTTTGAATACGAGTTTTAGCCGGGGATGCGGGCACGCAACACACGCAGGATGCGGGGTCGGAGACAAAACGAAACCACACGCAACGTGCAACAGCCGCCGACTGAGGGGCCTTCATCTGCCACTGGTAGATGGCCGAACAGCCACACACACACACACAGAGAGAGAGAAAAGCACTCACACAGATACTCGGCATTTGGTGATAACAGACAATTTTTCGAAATTCGAATTCGTGTCGCCGTCAGCTGCTGCTGCCTCTGTCGCTGCCGATTCTGTTTGTGTACAAACAGTAGCAGAGCATCCTTTGTAAGCAAAAGCATCAGCAGCCAGCAGCCAGCAGCCAGTAGCCACCCACAACGGCAACCACATTTACCATGTTGCATGTACTACGGTATGGCGAGCCTCAAACGCATGCGCCACAATGTAGGCAACACTTTTCTTGCACGAGGTACTCGCAACAAGACTCAAGGGTGGCTTGCTTTAGGTGAAGGTACGCAAGAGGCAGAAGAAATTCCTGATCACTTTTGCCAGTAGTCGAAGTGCACTAACAATATTTATTTATGTTACAGAAAGAGCCTTTGGCCTTTGAAGAGTTGCAGTCTCTTCAAATATATATTTTCAATGTTCTTTGGCCCATATGGAGCTAATAAATGCCTAAAAAACACCAGAATATCGCAGACACACAACATGTAAATTCTGTCTCTCTCCATTTCATCCATTTCTTTACTCTCCTCTTATCTAATCTTTTAATCTATTCAGCTCCAATCACACCCTTACGTTTAGCGGGTAAACTGCAGTCGTAACTCGAACATTTCAGCTGCTACTTGTTTGTATGTGGCTTCTGCTGCTCCTGCTGCTGCCCCTGCTGTTGCTGTTGCTGTTTCCTCTTCACCTTCTTCCCCTCCTTCCTCTGCTATGCCTATTGCCTGCCATCAACGCAAGCTCGTCTCAGTGCTCAGAAGCTTCTTTCGTCTGTTATCTTTATTGTCCTGCAATATTTCGACAGAGGGTTTTGGGTGGAGGCTGATTATGGGGTTAGTGTGTGTGTCTTGCGGGGGGCCGTGACATAAATTAGTCACATTTGACTTGGACGTCCCTTAACCTTAAGTCGGTTAAGTTGAGTGTCTTCAGCTCGAGCTCGAGCTCCGGTCCGTGTGCAGTTCACGTGCCCGGCCATGGTCGCTAATGAATTATGACCAAGTTTTTAATTAAGCTCTTTATGGCGTGCCAAAAGTCGCTTCTACTCGATACTCACGCGTTTATTTTTGGCCATGTCCTTGACAGTTGTTGGGATGATACGAAAAGATACGTCTGCCTTAATATTGGATTGTGGCTCACTTTTTTTCGGGGCACATTTTTGTTTGCTGATATAAGAATTTACTTTTACAATAATTACATTCAAATTCTTCTATGAAGAAAATTTCTCTCTCCATTCAAAGATTTTCTGCACAAAATTGTGCACAATTGAAATTCGGTGACACATAAAAAGGAATGCCAACCAATTCCATCCTTGACCTCGCCAGCGGCACAAAAATATTTTTGTATTTTCACATATGGCCAACAGTTGCCACCGCTTTAGATAAGCGATTTGCTGCCATGGATGTCCTAGCTGTGTGCTAGTTCTGTCTGTGGCCATCAGCCATGAGCACAGAGGGAGACACTGGCCAAACGAGGCAGCACCAGCAGCAGATTTAATTCAGTTTTAGCAGATTTAAAAGAAATGTTTTTGTTTTATTTATGTATAAGTAGGAGACATTTATTTATGAGTTTCCATCTTGAAGGGTTTCAGCCCCGTTTAGGCAGTACTTAAAATAACCAAAAAGCAAAAGCAAATGACACTCGGAGCATATCTGTGCAGGAAATTGCAAAAACTAACTTAAAACTAAAAGCGAGAGACAAAGACAGAGAGAAAGATAGAGAGAGATGTAGCAAAGTGTAACAATGAAGAGGTGTCCGTGTGACCGCATGAGCTGTAGCCAAATATGCATCCACTCCCTGCCCGATCTTATCACAATAAACTTTAGCTGAATGATTTAATGCCAGTCAGCACCCGCCTGCTGCAAGAAGGCACCACAGACAGCATCCCACACACAGCATTATGGTTGTTGTGTCTCCCATTGTGTCTGTTATCAATTGATTTTTATCAAGGACACAAAGGAAGCGCCGCGCGTCAAAGCCATTCAAAGCAGCTACAAGCTAAACAAGATGAAAGTAAGAGACTGCCGATGGAAGAAAACAAGTGACGCGACATTGGGATACCCAGTAGCACGTCGTTTGGTACAGAGGAAGGGTCAAATAAATCGACCCTACAATTTTGAGCGCAGTAAAGACACAGAGTATGCAATCCAGAGGGTCAAGGCTACAACAGCTACACCTGCAGGCCCACCTGGTGACAGGCTGACGCGCTGATAAAAGGAGAGATTCCCTTTTAATGATGCAAGATGCACTGCAAGAAAATCACAATTAATCATGGTGCTACCTGAGACTGCTTGCTTTGCTGTGTATAAAAAGTAGCTCCAAAAAAATACTTCTCTAATATTGCAACATCTTCGATCAACCATTCACTCGTTTGACCCACTTTGCTGACTCCTACAACTCTCTCTCTCTCTCACTCTCTTTCTCCCCTTTCTTTTGCATACTTTTCAATTAATAAACATAAAAACGGAATGACAGTCAAAGAGTGTGAAAGGCAATTGCGTGTCCATCTTTGGGTTTTAATTGAGGCTAAGCCAGCGGACGAGCGCCACAAAGAACATTAAATTGTTTATGGAGCAAGGTTACGTTCAAGTTTTGTGTGAATTATTACTTTCAATGCAAAAATTGAATGGAATCGAGGGTTAGCTGTGACGTTTTAGGGGCAAATAATGAAGGAAAGTGGTTCAAGGTGAGTTTGAAATGTTGAGCACTTTAATTTCGAAATCCGCGCCAATGCTGTCTGACTGTGGAAAGCTGCCTGCTATAGTGAATAGTGGAATTTCTATACAAATTGTTTTTCGGTGATTTTGGAAAAGTTAATAGTAGCTTGACATTTATAAGATCATTATTTGTAAGATACATTGAATAAAGATAATCTTAAATAATTTTAAAATTTTAAATGTGTTTGTGCCAGCGCTGTGAGGTATTTCTTTGCTTTCCAAAAGCGCTCT